ATTTTTTTTTTTTTTTTTTTTGTATAGTAAAAATGTGGTTCATTTTTGCAAGGGGTGTGCACCCAACTTTTACAGTGATCATCATTGTCCCAGAAAGGGTTAATTTAGGTAACTGACAGCAGAGCTACAATGTACTATCAAACATTTGTGTAAATACTCAAGCATAATTAATAATTCCAAAGTAGTATGCATGCATTTCCTATCTATCATCAACATTCAGCTGTTACAAACTACAGTGGGATTGACAAATGTGCTTGAGATGAATCTTTGGAAAATCCAATAATTTAATCAAAGGAAACAGCATGATGTCCTAAAACAGTGGGGTGGTCTTTTGTTTCTCTAAGGCCATGATAAATTGCTTTGACAAAGCATCTATTTTCTTCATTAAATGACATGCTAAACAATATGTGCACTAGTGATCAAAGGTTTGGAAGAATTCATTAAATTATAAAATGCAGCACAACTGAAAAGAGCAAGCAGCACAACTGCATTTAATATTACTAAGAAATGTTTCTTGAGGACCAAATCCTGATCGTGTGATAATGAAGACTGGAGTAATGGCTGATGAAAAATCAGCTGTGATATCACAGAAATAAATGACAAATTAAAGAATATTCAAATAAAATAACAGTCGTTTAAACTGAAATGATATTTCATAATATTATTGTTTTACTGTATTTTCAATCAAATAAATGCAGCATTTGTGAGCATAAGAAACTTCTTAAAAAAAAAAATAAAACATTAACAAATTGTAATTATTAAAACTTGACCTCTATATATAGATTTTTTTTTTGTGCTCCATCACAAGTTTACCAGAAACTGTTCCCATTTATGAGAAATTTGAATTCTTACTAGTTAAATGGTGCATTACCGCACATCCTAGATGTGAAAAAGGCCTCAGGAGAAACCATCGCTATGATTATGGCCACAACCAAAGCATTTAAAAAGGAGTGCAAATTACCGCACAAATTAATGGACACCATTGATAGTCACAAGTTTGGTTCAAGAAGGCTTTCTAGGAAAGAGCACAAAGCAACTCTATGAGAGTGCCAAGACTCGAGTTAATGAGATGTCAGCTGACTTACTAAATGAAGCAATTCTTTCACCAAACGATTATGCTGTCGAGTTGTGGCTGCATCATTGCGCTAAGATTTGACTCCTGAACACAATTAAATTACTTTTTCTGTATTATATGACTTTTTCTCAAAAGTAAATATATTTGGTAATTTGATGAAACATTTCTTATTATCAATAAGAAAGGTTATGTCTGTAAGCAAGCAATAAGCACTCACACTTAAAATCAAATTCTGTTCGTTACTGAGGTGCCAGCAGTTGTATAGTGTTATTACATTTACCAAATTTACCTTCACAATGTCTCATATAAACAATTCCCTGATTCAACTATTTTTTTTAAAGAGTAGGCTAAATGCAAATATTCTTTTTCGGTTTTTGTTCTGTACTTGTTTTCTTTTATTATATAAAAACTTGACCCTCTAACATTAACATATACTCACATATATTTCAATTCTTTCTACTTTTAATAATAAAAAATAATAACTTGACCCTATCTACTGTATTACTTTTTATTCCTTCTATTTGTTTTTTTTTTTTAAAAACTTGCTATGTGTACTGCTATGTGTACTCTATAAATACTTGACTTGATTGAATGGCTGCAGCTGTTTCATACAGGTCAACTATTGTTGACCTAACAAGACAATCCTGATATCTGCCTAGCTTTGTTACATAAAATCAGTGATGGATTGGACTTATCTGTTGTAAAAACACAGCACTGAGCATAATCTAGTAGGGCATGCTCTCTCCTGGTGCTGCAGGGACTGACCGTTATGGAAATGTAAACTGGCTCTGATCAGCTCGGCAGATGGAAACGTGTGTCTTTCACAGCATGTGTCTCAGCATGTTTTGATCTGGTCTGAGTCCAGCTCTG